ATCCCAGAAAAAATGCACTTAAAATATGAGATACTTTGAATTTGGTGGCCTGATCATCTGCATGTGCTCTTTCTTCATCTAAAAGTACTTCACTAAAGCTGCTTCGAGCAAGGAGAATCTACGTCTGAAATAGATAGCTTTCAGAGGCATGGAGGAGTAGGTGATTGCTGATTAAGATGAGACAAAGCAGCATGTCCTGAACAAAGGGAAAGAGCTCTGTCATACATTTCAGAGTGTGAAGCTCTATTTCCTGTTTTGCTACGTGGGACATGGTTCTCGTAAGGCACATGTTCCACCCCACTTGCCCAGCTATTGTCTTCTTCATCTGAAATACAACCCCATTGTTACAATACTTTGGGTACATGTGATTCCAAGTAGAGGCTGGATTCTGTTAGCAGAGTCTTTTTCCTCTTCAAAAGCAAGTAAGGAGAAGGTAGCTAATATTAAAAGTATGGGGAGAACTGTTTTTTTCAAGGAGGACATAGTTTAAGAAGTTGGGGTGAATGAAGGGCTTGCTGCTAAGTGGTTTCCAGGGAACAGAATAGTCAAAGGCTGCTGAAATTTGGATTCAAAGGATGCCTGATTCTCATTCTCTGCTGTTAGGTGTGAGAGGCTGAAATTTTCTGTGCCCTTGAAAATTATGGACTCACAGAATTAACCTGAGCCAAAGGCAGTGAAAGCAGAAGCCATTAAGGCTCCCCTCCATATATTTGTCAATAAACCTCAATCATGACCTTGGTATCCCAATCCTGTGGTGCTTGTGTAAACACTGTCAATCATACATAAATTCTGTGCTGGTTTTTTGTCATGTGGATAAATACCTTCCGGAGTTAGGTTGAGACCACCAAACTCTTTCCATCTGAGTCTTTGTCCAGGCTTACGAAACCTTAAAACTGTAGCATCTTACTATGCCACTACTTGCCACACCACAGTCTTCTTAAACATTTCTCCTACTCATAAATCAATAGCTCCAGTTCTCTTTCTGTCATGCATAAGCTAGGAAGTAACTTTTCCTGGGAAGACATTGTTCCCAAGAAAATTAAAGTAAATTCATGTTACTGAAAAACTTTAGAGGGCAAGAACTGTGGTTTTGTTCAGTGCTGTGAGTGACCAGCAAAGTAAAGGGATATGTGTTCATGTTGGATTAGTCCTACTGCAGTAAAAATAACAATAAGCCTTTGGATGCATTGGCAGCAAGTATCTAATTCTTTGGTCTTCCCATTGACTGTGATCTGGCTAATTTTCCAGATGTACTTACTCATCTGTTTGACAATAGCCAAGACAACTGACGTCCTACAGTTTTTCAGTTCTTACAGTCAGATCTGTTGTTTGGTATTTCTTGCAGGTGGCTTGGGCTGATGGGTTTGATCTCCACCACTATTATCTCAGTTTTCTTGGGAAAAAAATATTTATTCCACTTGAAAGTGGGTAACTTTATAGCAGTTTTCAGAGCATCTCAAAAGCAAGTCCAGTAACATTTAAGGACTTTCTAGAAGCAGTTACGAAATTAGTACCAGTCAGTAGATGCAATAGTTTTCAAAGGAATTGGCATAACTGTGGGTTTTCTTATAGAAGCATTAAGCATTCAGACTGTATATTGTTAAATGAGGATGAAATGAAGTTGCATTTGTCAGATTACATGTTTTAAGAAGCTATGGAGACTTCAAGACGCATCATCTAGTTTTCTGTGTTCAAAAAAATGAAAGTATTTTTGTAGGAAGGCAGGTATTCTGCTAGGTTACAGTAAGATGCACTAGACACATAAAATAAAACAGAGACATAGATTTGTAGCTGATAAGGTTTTTTTACTTTAGTACAGTTAACATGAAAAAATGTCTGCATTAGAACACAGGTATTCCCTAACTGTCTATTGAACAATGCTCCAGTTCAGATCAACACGTCAGGCAGTGTATGACTCTCAGCCAAACATCTTGTTAAATACTTGCAGGATTTCCCATAGCGGATCTTACTTTAATCAAATAATTCAAACGTTTCTTTTGTAAGTACAATAGAAGGGCAGGGCTTGTGTTTACAAAGTATTCAGTATGGAAATCCTGTATTAATTGAGGTACATTTACTTCACTTAGGACAGTGTCCACACAGTAACTCTTTACATAAAAGGTGTTTTGCTGTTGCCTATTCTAGAGAGGCAATCACATGCAAAACTAACCCATCACGTACAGAAAATCATGAGGAAATGGCTTGAGAGATGTGCACTGTAGCCAGCAGAGATGTTCCTAGCTAAAGAAGACAGCTTTATGGATGATTTTGTCACAGTGGATGTAAAAAAATATAATTTATAACAAGTAGTTTTATCCCGATGGAAACTACTAAATAAAGAGGCTGTGTTTTTCTCAATCTATTTCCAGAACGATTAGCATGGGCAATGCCGTATGTTGTCTTTTCGTAATATCATGGCTTCATATAAGCTGTGCTTCAAATTATTATCTTTCTAAAGCAGCAGCTGTATTTTCTGTGAGTAAACACAATGTGCTTTCACCCAGCCCAGTGCAGGATCTGGAGATTTTATTATTAACAGTAAAGCATTTAGAGTTACACATAAAGGGTGTATAAAAAAGAAAGATAATATTATTACTCAGTGATAATATTATTACTCAGTAATAGGTGACTAGAATTGCGCTCCTCTCAGTTCCTTATTTTGCTGTGCCAGAAAATGCCAGGATCAAAATAAGCCACATACAGAAGAATTAAACAGAGAATCTGCATTTCCCTCCACACTGAGTTGGAAATTATGTGTTGCTTCTATATTCTATACAGTTGAATCTTTTTTCCTTTTTTTTTCTTGAATTATAATTCTGCTATAGTTGAAAAGATAATTTTGCCAGTGTATTAGATACCTGGCAAAAAAAGGTGTTTTAGAACATTTTTAGGTAAATGTAGGTCAACACAAAGGAATCATACAGTTGGAAATATTTTCCAGTGTTTATGTTCAGATGTTCAGACCTGTCTGGCTCCTCTCTATTTGCATGTGTTGGGGTTATAGGCAGTCCGGCTACATTCCACATTGATTTATATAAATATATTGCAGATTATTAACCTCCAGCCAAATACCAGCCAATTTCACTTTTCAGAAAGGTTTGTGACTTTTCACAAAATTGATTCACTGTGTACAGGACATCTAACTTCTGTGTACACCCCATTAAGGGAATCATAAAGAGAACAGCATTTGTCTTCATGAGAAATGTGTCGAGACATTTGCTGTTACAGTCACTATGTTACCATAATAATTTAATTCATATTTGTTCATATGATGATTACAGATTAAGTACAGATTAGTCTTCTAGTAGAGGTAGGGTGACAGTCTCTCCATATTCTGTAATTCTGGTTCCCAAATTATTACTCACTGAAAATCTTCTTTAAGCTAAAAGGAATGTGCACGCATCCATTTTCAAAACACTGTGGCTAATAAACAACTTTTAAGTGTCTGACCAAAGAGTATTTAGGAAATGCTGTTAAAGTGGGACCACAGCCTTAATATGTTAAATCTGTATCATCTCAAGTGAAACATACTGGTCTCTTAAACCTGGCTTACCGTCTTCGCAGACAGTTGTGCCAATTCTTATCTTCCCTTCTCTTGTGAAATATTTTGAGATTTAAGGTAAGAAGTAAGAGCTCATTACAAAGTGTTCTCCTAGCGTGTTTGTCAGATGTCCTCTTCAAAAAGCAGTGACCCCCAAGGCTTTGTGCGTGATCTGTTGTCTACAGATCCTGCATATTAAGCCTTTAGTCCTAGGACAAAGAACAAAAATACTACTTGATAACATTATCAGAACTCCTGCACTTTGCACAAAGTAAGGAAGCAGTTATTCTAAGTAAGAGGATGAAAGATACACGTAGTAAAACAATGTGACTGCTATGATGACCAAAATAAGCAGTAGTATCAACACTATGGTTTGTTATCTATGATAGGTTCCTCAGTTTAACTGTATAGACTTTTTTCTCAGTAACTGTATTCATACATTTTTCAAATCTACTGTCACCTAATAAAAGTAGCAATTGATTTTCTGCCTCGCTTCAGAGAGAAAGGCAATCTGATCTGTACAATTTAAAACTAAATGAATAAACACATTGGTGAAGTATGTGAGTGGGCAACAAGTGTCCTTCCATCTGTAAGACGGTTTCCTATTGTGATTTTGTACAAGCGGGACTAGAGGAAGTGTAGTGAAAGTCACTGGTATGAGTGTAGGTGTGAAGCATAAAAGGATGGGCAGACGTTAGTGAAAAAGATAAAACAGTGATTAAAGCTGATATGGTAGATGAAGTGGAGAAGATGAGAGAAATCCTAATTAAAAAGAGAAAACAATAGAAAATAGAGTCATCAGATAGGAATGTGACATTATGAAGAGCTTTGCAAATTAGTTTGCATTTGATGTTGTGCAACAAGGTGAAAAGATAAAGAAATTTCAGTAAAAGAATGTCAGAAAGTGATGAGAGAAGAAAGCTTTCTTAGTAGTGGCATCTTGTGCACAAAGCTTTCTTCCAGACTGTATCCTGACTCTGAAGGTATTCCTTGAGTCCAGGAACTTGCAAGAGTATGGGAGTTATGTGGGAAGAAACTGAAGGTGCATGCAAGCACCCTGTATATTTTTTCTCAAAAATGTTTCTCACATTTTTTTTTATATGACTGTAAGTACTGCAACATAGAATGTAGATAAATATCAAGTAATTTTCTGTACTAACTCTAGTTAGTCCAAAAAAATAATTTCTTTTCATGTAATTATTTTACTTTGAACAGCTGGTGAATTCTTAATACTTAATCCTATTTCAGAATCCGCACATGAAAGAGAAATATTATATTATTGATGTATCAGTAGCTATCTGATGAATCAAGACCTCAAAGATTGCTCTACCTTTGGAAAGCTCTTTTTTCCATTCTATACACTGTAAGAAATTTAAATAGACATGTATGAGCTGCAAGCATTGTATGTCTGTATTGGTTCCTGTATACTTTACCTCCTCTTTTCTTTTCCTCCTCTCAGATTGTTCGATGTGTGCACCGTGTCACGAACAGACAGAGAGACCAAGTTAACACTGGTGTTTGAACACGTGGATCAAGATTTGACTACTTACTTGGATAAAGTTCCAGAGCCTGGAGTGCCTACTGAAACTATAAAGGTATTTAAGAAGAAAGATTTTGGATATTATTTCAGAAAATAAGGGATAGGAAGGGCAAAGAGATAAATCACAAAGACAAATTGCATTTTGATTCCATAGGATTTTGTTATATCAAAATTGAGTAATGCCCAGCTTGGGACATGAATTGCAGCACAAAGATCTGTATTCACTAACAGATGTAATCTCTTTGTGGAAGTGTTGCACTTGGTTTTGGGGTTTTTTTCCTCTTTTAGGTTTATAAATCCCCTGAATCTGTACTGTTTTACCAAATGTAGCATTCCAAATCATTAATAATGACCTTATCTTGCAGCTGTAGGCAGATGATTCCATTTTTGTTTAGTCCAAGACTACTTTAACCTTCCCTAGAAGGTGTCTGGTAGAGTGCTGGATATTGTTAGAATGGATAAAATAAATCCTGTGCTCCTATTCCCTTCCCTTTGCCTTTTGTTTCCCCAAGATATTCCTTTCACTTCTTGTCCCTCTTGCCAGGAAATGTTCACTGTGGAACTGTGGTGAACTCTGCAGAGGATGGGCTCAAGGAAGGGGGTAGCCATGACCAGTTGTTCTAGAAGCTGGGAAGGTTCTCAGTAACTGGAAGAGTGATCGTGAAGTTTTCCCATCATGTTATCTCATATTCTGCATCTGTAAGGGAGGACTTCTTCCCAGGACAGGGTGTGCTTGCATTATTGATACTAACATATATATATATCAACTCCTCTCCTGGGAATTTCATAGCGAAGTGTTACATTGAGGATCATAGCTTGAAATGTTTGACAAAATGTTTACGCCTGGGAAGAGAAGCAGAGGGATTGATGTTCCTACATTTTGACTGTGTCTGTTTAACATTTCTTTTGATTTTTCTTTTTTTTCATGAGGAGAAATAATTTATGCTTTCAGAGATGGATTATCTTGCATTTGTATCACTACTTTCTGGAAGTATGTTGTGTCATTTTAGTCTGGCAAAATTCCTGAGGGAGGAAAAGAAAACATGAAACCCATCTGAAATTTAGTTGGTTTAATATTTTTTTTGTTAACAGCTTCAAACTTAGGAGTTGTTTGATCTTTCAGTATAAAATTAGACATAGAAGTGATAAAGATCTTTTCACTTGTATCAAAGTCACAAATACATAACATCAGTCAGTTCCAGCAACCATGTTTTTTAAGCAACCTTAATGGATAAAATAACATTTTAAAAAAATGGATACAGCTTTGATTCAGTACCAACAGAAGACTGGAACGTACCTCTTGCATTTGAAAGACTCTTTTATGATAACGTTTTTAGGGTTCTACTTCCTTCTAGGGCTTTGAAGCTACCTAAGGGAACTGTATTTCAATGTAAACAGCATTGTGAAAATAATGTACAAGGTGACTGACATTATCTAAATAAATATATTGAAATATACATGGTTTACTAGTCCAATCCAGTCGATATATCTGATAATTTGGCACAATAAAAGAGAAAAATTTAGCCACATAGAGACAAGGAGGAGCAATTCTGGTCTTTTATGTACAGTGCAAGTTCCACTGCAGCCAGTGAAATTAGTGAGTGTAGAATTCAGCTTGTGGTACAATCAGCTCTTTTTAAATGGGTGAGGAAAAATGTAAAATTGCTGTTTACTTGGTTGTTGTTGATTTCAACATTTGCACAGTAGCTGATGTGTTATTTCTTGATGCTGTTTGGCATGGGAAAAAAGAGAGATTCATTTAACTTGCAACCTGTTGCTTCACTATTTATGTGAAAACACCCAGTTTATGGAGGTACTTTGGCTGACAGTCAGGGCTGATCACATGAGGAAGGGTCTCAAGACTTATTCCTAATATGTTTCATTACCTTTCTAATGATACAGTCTTTATGGATATTCCTGGTAGAAACTGAAGCAAAAGACCCTCCTGGCTGTAGGGAAATACTGCCATTTTGCAGCAACTGAGCATTTAACCCAGAGCACATACATCGTCAAATGACTAATCTGACTTTTTATAGTTTGGCTTTTGAGGTTAATATGGATTTGTACTTCATTTATTTTCCAGAATTGCAGACAATTTGCATGGAGTATTTCCCCTCACCACTAGCACAGTACAAAACAACTGCCAGTATTGTAAGACCATCTGTTAAAGTTCTGCATGTGTCAGCAACACAGAGGTGCCAAATGAGCCGAGTAAGCTCTGGATAACTTGAAGGATCTAATATACCTCTTTGGCACCATGGTGTAAACTCAACAGTTGTTAGTGGAACTTGAATGACATAAAATTACTATGAGAGAAGTATCAGCCACAAAAGATCTTTTCTGTGTGAATTAACTACCATCATTACATACTATTTTGGGGTGGGAGACTCAGTTTTTGCTAGTTTGGGGCATGCTGGGGTTTTTAGTTACCAACTGGCAAGGAGTATCAGTGACACTGGTACCATTTTAAGAATTTCCTTTATGTTTAGCAGATAATAAAAGCAGATGTCTTTCAAATGTCTAAAGCCCTGCAGCAGGAGTCATCCCAAAGGGTATTTTAGGAACATACCCACAGGTGCCCATAAAATGATAGAATAGAGGCAGTTCCCCTTTGAGGCATTGCCTGGTAGTGGGAATACTGACCCAGGATGTAGGGCAGACATGCTCACTTCCCCTCCCTGTCACCAGGAGCATGAAAGCTGTAGTCTGTTTCTGTGGCTGTAGCTCTGACTACTGAGTTCTAGGTTATTCTGGACAGAGGTATTTTAAATCTTTTCTGCTGAAGCACTTCCATTATTTTTTAATGGAGTATACTTTGGGCTAGAGGGATGGAGAACATCACTCCAAATACTCATGGACATGGCATTCACCTTTGAAAGGGAACTATGTTCAAGCCCTTAATCAAATTAATATGTCTTTGTAACTAATGGATTATAGTCCTGCTCACCCTTGCTGGCTTCCTCTGTCAGACCTGATTAATATTACGGGATGAATCAGAATCAGCAATGACAACATCTTCCTTCTTTCCTCTCTACCCATCGTCTCCTCCCTTCTTTTCTTCCTCGGATACTCTTTAACTTTAGGGCAGTTTATGTGGAAATGGAAGGTATGAGTTCAGTTTCCTTAGGACACAGCTGTTTGTTAGTCATGCACAGGTCTTTGGTAATGTTAATGGAGTTACCAGTTGAGCCTCCAAGAGACTTGGCTTATTAGGAACTTTTGTTAGTTGACATAAGAGTAGTGGAAATGGGAGTGACATGCCTCTGCCACAGAAAGATTTAAAAAAAAAAAAATAGTTAACAGGCTACTAAAGCATTTAGATATGTTAGTCTTTGGCACTGAAGCATGTTTAAGCTGGGTGGTCACATTTTGGTGTGATGCTTGTGAGACAGGCATGGGTTTTTTGATCCTAAAGGATTTGGGTATGGATATGGTTGTTAAAACACTAATTACATTTTTAATACGTAAATTATGTGCATGCAAACAAGTTGATGTTTATTGGTTTAAGCTATTGCAATGTATATAACAATATTTAGCTTTAAATGAATATATGCATGTGATGGCGTGGTATATAGAGCTGTAAATTAAGTAAGTGGTTTAGGAATGGCTCTTTGGAGTTCCCCCCAGTCATCTTGTTGTGCTGGGCCAAGGAGTCTGTGAGAATGAGAGGGGATAACAAACTGTTATCGAGGTTCTTTAATTTTAGTAATGAACAAAGTTAACTTTGCAAGTCATTATACTTGCAGCTCCTAGCAATAGTTTTCTTACAACTGACGAGAACTTAGCCTACCCAAGCTACACATGCTAACTGGGCCATGCCTGTTTCAATCTGACAGTCAACAGCGGAGGGAACAGAACAAAGGTCTCCAGCATAGCAGGTGCATATGTTATCTATCACGGGGTGTTAGAAGAGCTGGGAATGTCCTTCTGTCCAGGTCTGTTATCTGTGAATCTTCATGGTATTCCCCCCAGCCTGGAACAGGGCAGCCAAGTCACAGAGAGGAGGGCTTAAGGAGTATCCTTTTCTCTGGTGTTCCCTGATTCCTCACCCAAGTGAATGGCTTCTGTGGATATTATTCTGTTTCCCCTTTGCATAAGAAGCCTAGATCTCCATCTGATTCAGGGATCCAGATTTTGCTATTTAGATGCCTAAAATTTACAAAGTACAGCAGTGAACCTATTTTCCTTTTGTGGAGTTATCTGATAGTAGCCCATAAATTGAATTTTAAATATTACCCCCAGTCCTAGAATAAATGTTGTTGTTGCATCCCTGTGCATTTCCTGTAACTTACATTATCTGCCACCAAACCAGGCAGACTGGTCACATCTTTGCAAGACTTTGAAAATTAATATGAAGATGTTGCTTCTCAGAAAGCAAACCAGTGTTCAGTGTTGAGAGGTGAGTCATCAGCCATCTGCCACAGTTGCACCTACTCAGTCGATCACGTATGGGATGTAGATCAGATGTCACACAATCATGCAATTCTGAAAACAACACAAGATATTCCAGGAAAACAGATTCGCCAGTACTGAGAGTCTTCAGAGTGTGGCCGTATTTAACAACATCAAAGTTAAAAGTCACTAAAAAAAGAGCCTACTCAAATTAATAAGAAAGATACTAAGAGAAGAGCTGTTACTAACATTTTCCTGTCAGTACTTTTGTGGTGAAGAAAGAAGTAAAACTTGGTGAGGAATGTAGAGTCCACAGATAATGGATCAGAACCTCAGCTGATACTAAGAGGTGTAAATCCATTAGCTTCAGTGAAATGATGCCCATTTACAGCTGCTAAGGATCTCGTTCTTTGTGGAGTAGTTTGCAATAAATCTTGTTCTGAATCCGTATTATGAATTAAAGAAGAGTTGCCACTATAAATAAATGAAAAACAAAAGGACTGAACTGACATACTATTGTGGGATACATTTTTTATTTTTTCTCTGTTATCCTACTACCAGGGGTTGGACCGCTGCATGGAAGGATAGCAGGAGAGCAGGTGCCCTGCACAAGTGGCAGCTCTGAAGGAACTAAACCTTAAAAAGAGGATATTCTCCAAAGGG